TCAAATATTTTTTTCATTACAACTTACTTACTTTTTTTTAATACACTGTGTAATTTATTATTATGAATTCATTTCTTATATAATAATATGTTTAATGCTTATGATAATATCGTGGATATACTGGGAAAAAATGTTAACTCAAAAACTCCTGTTTAGAGAAATCAATCATTTAAGTTTTTTTTTCAATTTTAAACTTTTATAATCTAATCCATAGACAGGTAACGCTAAATCGATTTAACTTTTTTTTCCATTACAAAAAATTCACTACGACTTTTTGAATAATATATAATTAATTTAAACCTTTTAGCTTGAATAAAATACCCGTTTTAAAAGTTAATGGTAACGGTATATTTACAACCAGAAAAAAGATAATGTTCCATTTGACTTTTACATGTTGTATTTTGCCAATTTGTAGAGCGTTTTACACTCCACAATGCTGCATCATCAAGTCAAAACTGCCAGTTTTCAACTTAACGTCTTTTGCTAATATGCCCATTTTATGTTATGCTTTATATCTTATATTCATATTATGCATACTATCATAGTAGTGTAAATACATTCAATCATACGTATGTATGGGTGGCACGTTTTATAATAATAATAATCTTACTATTAACATACAACAAATTATTAGTCTTGATCAGGTCTGCAACAATATTTATATCTTATTGACACAATGGGTCAATATTTATATTTATATTAGAAAAGAATGTTATAAACAAATATCATAAAAGCCAATGTAATAGATGCTGATAAACTAAATGCTTTTATTTTTTTGTGATGTGTACTAAATATTTTCCACTATTAAGTTAAATAAATATTAAAGATCTCATCATTAAACATTATCAGCTGATAAAATCTACTAAACAACTTGAATCAGAAGTTGCCGACCAAATCATGCGAAAATTATAAATCTTAGTATGAAAATTACCCCATAAAATAACTGACTGCGAAACAACATAAAGAAATGTTAATCAGTGATGTTTTTGCAGCAGAATCTCCAATAATTTTTCAACTACTACTAAAATCATCCAATGACCTACTAGAATCATCCAGTGACCTACTAAAATCATACAGTGACCTACTAGAATCATCCAGTGACCTACTAAAATCATACAGTGACCTACTAGAATCATACAGTGACCTACTAGAATCATACAGTGACTAACTAAAAAATTTTTGGCTCACAGCATTAGCTATGAAACTTGTAATTGAAGACATATTTTACTAACCTTATTAACGTTCTACGTTTGCAGCTAAAAAGCAATCTTTTATTTGGTGCAGAGGTTAACGACATGAAAGGAGATAAATGCATTTTTCTTATCGATAATTGCTTTACTCTTTAGTCTGACCTTGATAGCTGTCAATCTATTGATCATTGACATCAATTGATAATATGTCAGTTTTACTAAAAAGGTCTTTCCAGTTGGTAATCACGATGCTCTTAAGAATGATCTGAAAAATAATACTGTCTTTCAGCAAGTTTTATGTATCTTAGCAGGAAAAGTCTACATAAGTCAACATGATTAATTATAGCTTTAGCTATAATTAATCATGTTGAAGTAACAAAACCATCTTGCTTTGAGAAAAGGCAAAGCAGTCCTGAGCAAATGATTAGCATTCCTTAGCAACGACTTGAATATTGCTAAGTATTTACTTAATAGTAAAATGGAAGAAAAAGGAAAAAGTAAAATCATAAAAATAGGTAGAGCTGGACAAGTATCCGCTGCAAGGCGAAAACAGAAACAAGCTTTGTTACTAAATGAGCTTGAAAAAAGAAAAAAAAAACTGTTAAAAAGTGAAGAAGCAGTTGAAAAAAAGGTTGAAAAAAGAGAAAATCCAAGTAATAGGTTTATCTCTGGGTACATATTTATTTGTAGTAGTAAGGATTCTTGAGGTAATTTACCTTTTAATGAAACCTAAAGCTACTCCTCCTCCGATTGCTCTAGTGTCTAAACCAATAAAAAAAACCTGCTTAGCCTGAAAGAGATTGCTGGAGTGTTTGTTAAGCTTTTTTATCGTTAGATATTGTTGGATTTCTTTTAAAATTTCTGGGCCATTATCAATTACATCAGTTGGTTAATTTTTTTACATTTCTGTGTCAACTTGTCTGAGAAATTTTTTATATTTTTCCTCGAGGACTTGAAACTCACCAGCTGTCAGCTCACCATCAATAAGTGCGCAAGATATTCCCTCTTGAATAGAAGAAACAGCTTCTGTAGCTAATGTATATAACATGTGAAAACGTTTGCTACTGTTATATGTTGTTTTGCAATAAACCGACCATTTCAGAGATAACTCCATATGAAGCACCAGTTGCTGCTAGCGTAATGCTTACAGAAGCAGAAACAACAGTAACAGCAATAGAACCTGAAATAATCCATGATAAATGTCTAAATTTATCACAAGTGGTAGTAGCAATAGATAAACGCTTTAAAACTTTTTTACGTTTCATGCTTTTATTGCGAAAGTTGTCTGAAATTGTTGTAATACGCTGAATCCATGTTAACGCTATATTAAAACGCCAGTAAAATGCATGTGTTTGAGACATCTCCTCTCTATGGTTGCTCGTGTCATTATATTCATTTGTTGGTTTTGTTTTAGTTGATTTTGTTTCCGTTAGTTTTATGTCTGTTCGTTTTGTGTCTGTTGGATTTGTCTCAGTCAGAGATTTTATTTTATCTGTCAACTCTAGAAAAGCTCCTATAGGGACAATTAGCAATTGATTGTTATATTCAACTAATTTATTTATTTAAGGCTAAAATCACTTGGAATCATATAGAATCCTCATTCAAGAGCAAAATCAATGGAGTGACATGCATTTTGCATTATAGTTTGGTAATTAATAATATCAGAATTTAAGGCAAATGAACGTTTGATATGTGTTTCTAAAGCATTATCAAACTCGGCTTGAGCTGAAGAAGCAGATGAATCTTGGCCAATTATTAAACTTCAAACAGCCAGCTGCGCTGACAAAAGGCATATAACATATTTCCGAAATGATTCGCTATTAAATTGAATGTCATTTTTTGTAAGGCTATCTGATTGATCAGGAATTTAAACGACCGCTAAATTAAAAATATGATAATCAACTGTCTTTTCGTCTTCAACTAACGTTCTTGAATCGTAGTCAATCAACTACACCTTAATATCTTTTCTGAATCAATATTAAAGGCGTACAGTATAATCCAAATGAAATCTAAACAAAGCTCTCGCCAAAGGATTCGTACAATATAACATTAGTGTATTTACACCACAGCGATCAGTAGCAAAACAGACAGCAAAATTTAAAAAACATATATAACTGGCATCCTCACATGGAATACAATCTTGAGAAACATTAGGTTGTTTAAAACAATAAGTATAAAATGTGCTATTATAGTTGCTTTAAAGCGGAAACCTTTGTTGAAAAAAATAATAGGGTTTTTAACGTCTGTAATAGTTAATAGACATTAATTTGATTCTTCCGTGTATTAAATTACATCACTCAATTTTAAATCTTAAGTTTTGATAATTTAATTTGGTGGATCTTCAAGAGGTTTATAAATACTCATTATAGAGATAGCAATGAGGACCTCCTCCTATGTACTGACCATCACTTCCGGCTGGTGGTTTGTTAACCAATCTTATTATTAGGGCATTTATCTTGATTGCTATCTGAAATGCGATACTATTGTAGCTTTTCAAATTAAACTTCCTGATCTGCTTCAATAGCATAATATATAGTATCTTTTCTAGGTTTTTCAATATTTATTACATTTTCATTAACTAAAGCATATTTAAAGTCAAAAAAACCAAGAGCATCGTCTGGTATTTGTTCCTGGCTTAAAATAAGACATTTTTATAATTAAACGTCTTTTATTTCTAACAGTATATCTATCAATGACTCAGATGATTATTGATCCAGCAGCTATGAAAAGAATCTATACATTTTCTGCAACAAATTCAACAATTTTATAAAATATATAAAAAATCCAATATAAAATTTTACCTGTAATGGGGATCACGTCTGCAGCTATTGAGGTAACCCATTTTAAAGAATTTGCAAGATGGTTAAGACAGCCTTTATTTTTTTCAAGACCACTTTTATAACCTCTTTTGTCACCTTTAATATTACATCCTTTGTCACCTCCTTTGTCACATCTTTTGTCACTAGTCTTTCATTTATAACCTGCTGGACCAGTAAGGTTATAAACAATTGAATGAATAACAACATCAATAGATGTTATTACAGCAACTAGTGTAATCGCCTGTTTGCCAAAAACAAGTTCAACTCTTTGCCACAAAGTATGCCTGTTATCATAAAATAGTGATCTAATGTCATAAAATAGTGTTCTAATGTCATTGATTTAATTTCAAGATCGGAAATTCTAACATTAATTTCATTAATTTCTTTAATAGCTTGATACTTAATAACAATCTCTTGTACTTTGCATCTCCCTTTTTATGTTGCTAATTTTAACCTTTGGTAAAGCAACGCTAACCTTAGTTAAAATTTTGTCTCAAGTAACAATAATTTTTACCCTTTTTCTTCAAAAAACTTTTTAGTAAGTGTATTAATTTACACCCACAAGTTCATTAAATGAACTTGTTGATAAAATTAAAGTGTTAATATTTTTTTTCAGATATGTTTAAGTTTTCTGAAAACTCTCCCTAAATTTCTAAACATCTACTGCTTTATATTACTATCATTCATAGCTTTGAATTTTGTTCGATGATTTTTTGTTGACTACTTTCTGTAAGGTTTATTTGTCTTAAGCGCTGGGCCATCAAAGATAAGATGATTGTCAAAGTAGTGAAATTTGCCCCATATATTTTTTTTTCTATTTTAAATTTTTTTTCTTTCCCAAAAATTACAAATCTTTTATAAAAAATATCAAGCGTTTTCTTACATACAAGCAGTATATTGAAAAGTATTGCACTCCTCTTGATTATAAAATGTTTAATCATAGTGGATCAGCTTACAATGTTATTACTGAAACCAATATGTTAAATTGAAAATGGTTTTCAAGCTGCAACACCTAATGGTTTTTTACTTGTGTACCCAACAGTTTTTGGCACTTTATTTCAGAAGCTGGTCTAATCAACTCTTAAATGGATTAGGTCTAAAACATAATAATACTGGTGATGAATTACAAATTCTCATTACTCAAACAGACGCTGTTGTATTCCTTGTTATGAAAGCAGTTGCTGGGTTTGATAGAGGTTGTTTCTCCGAATCTTCATATTAAAATTTAATTAACAAATCCAATCAACAAATATTTCCAATTGGTTCCAAATTGATTACCAACCCCCCTATGGAATGGCTGCTTGCTAGTACTTAACAATGGAAGAAAAAATGTTATCTAAGGGGTTAAAAAAAGGGTCTCTGAAACGTGGTGACAAACCTGATGTCGGAAAATACTTTAGGGTGGTGTCAAACCGTCATCTTTCAATAGGCTCATAGAGAGACTATCTTCAAGTGAAGTCAAACCCCCCTTTTAATACTACTACTTTTTATATGAAAATGTTTATAAATATTTAGGTAAAAGATAAAAAACTTTTTAAAAACATTCACATTCAATTTCTTCGATCTTTAATACTGAAAAACTAAGCTTTTCTCATAGGAATATGATATTATTAAATCTTTACTCAAAGAATCTGCTGTAAACTTGTATGGGCATAAAGGCATAAAGGTTTGTCCATTAATTAAGTGACGCATTGGGGGATGGGGGTTGAGGTTTGTGCTTTATGACAAAACATACGGATCTTGTTACTAAAGTGTTACGATGTTGTGACAAGGAAGGAAACATGTAAACAACAATGAAATCATTTTATTTAAACAGAGATTTAAAAGCATAAAAAAAAAATAAGATCCAGGGCCGACGACACGGGTTTTAAAGTGGACGGACACAACTGTCAATTTTTTTAAAAAGTTCCTATATCTAGAATTTTCTTTAAAAAAAAAGGTCCTTTTGAAAAAAAAAGGGCGACGCGTGCCCTCTACCCGCCCCCTCCTTTCCCAGGAGTTTTCGGCTCTTATTTATTGCTGATATTTTTCCACTGTTTTTTTTAATAAAAAATTTTGATAACGTAGAACATGTTGCTATTGTTAAAGTTTTTTAACTATTGATAATAACAGTTTCGATAAATTAGAACATGTTGCTGTTGTTAAAGTTTTTTAACTTGGCGTATGAGGAAGAATACTTTGTTTTCCCCCAAAAAACTTTTAGTTTCGCAATAGACACGTGATATCGACTGGATGAATGACTTTTAAGAAAAGGAATTTAGCAGGTGGTCATAGTTGGCTCACATTAAACAAATCTTTTGAAAAACAAATAGCTTTAAATTTTTTTCACCATTCTACAACTAAAATATGGTTAATTTAGATTTTGTGCAAAATAATGGTTTTGGACCTATTTTCAATGAACGTAGAAGCAGAGAATTGCATATAATCAATATTTTATGTGTTTTTTTGCTGCTGCTTATTGTTTGAAAATGTTTTTTTTTTCAAGATCTTTTAAAAAAAATTTAATTCTAGTACTAATGGTAATTTCCTCGATAATTGTTGGAGAATTATTTAGAAGAATTTGCTTTTCTTCTGAGGAAATATTTCATTATATAAAGAGATATAATGGTTCAATCATATTAGCTTTCAAAAATTGTAAAACTGTGACAAGTTATTCTGGTGTATGCTAAGTTTTTCTCGCACAATTTCAATTTTTATTTCAATAACATGATCCTTATAAGTTATTACAATTCTTTGAGGTAATAGTTTTATAAATCTTTTATTGATAAGTTTTTTTTTAGGTTGTTTGGATCATGTTAGCTTTGTCATTTTCAGTAACTTTTTACCAATGGCCATATCCATTGATAAAGAAATTCCATTCCTTCCATTTACAGTAAATGCAACCTACATGATTTCTAGTTTAATTGTAATGCATTTGCTAAAGTTAAAAGAACCTTCTATTGTACAGTATTCACATTCAAATGAAGTTGAAAATAAACATTTAGCTGCAGGTTTAGCATGGGGTTAATACTTTAGTTATTTTAAAAAAAAAACTTCCTAAGTTGAAAATATTAGTAGAAAGAGCAGTAGCACCACATTCTATGATTGAAGGAGATAATGCATGTAAGTATTTAAAACCAGTTAAGTAATAATTATTATTCCGAAAGGTTGTTATTCTACAGAAAACGTGTCAAATGATTTTAATATAAAATTTTATTGTAACTGTCTTGAGGACATAAGAAGTACTGGTGGAGTACATGACAGATCTTACAAAAACAGCGTTTACTCGATTGAACCACGTGAACCACAAAAACCCAAAAAATATGTTATTATGGAGTATGCAACTCCTCTCAACAACTTGTATAAAATGTCAAAGCATAGAGAAGCAAATTTTTCTGATGAAGATCTTGAATGTGAAATAATTTTGTTTTACAAAAAACTTAAGTCTATTTTGGATGATGACCCAAATTGTATTAAACATTATAAACTAATTTTATTGTCAAGTGCTTCACAAAAAAATATTGCGGATGTTTTGTATAGAGAAATAAATGACGAAGAAAATTTTTTTAATAATAATGTTAATGTATGAATTAGTTACACATGAAATGATATATAAAATATCATAATGATATCATCATTGCAATAATAATTAATAATTAGTTATCAAAATTCAATTTTAATTTTTATAAAAATTGATTATTATTAAGTTTATAAAAAAGTTTAACAATATTTAACTTTTTTACATTTTTGAAATTTTATAAAATTTAACAATAATTAACTTTTTCACATTTTCTCACATTTTTGACATCACATCATTGACTATTATAAGATATATAATTATTAATAATATCTTATTATATCTTTTATTAATAATATACTTTATAATAGTCAAAAATATGATAGTGAAAAAAATGTAAAAAAATTAATTATTGTAAAATTTTATAAAATTTCAAAAATATAAAAAAAAGTTAATTATTGTGAAACTTTTTAAAAATTTAACAATAATTAATTTTTATAAAAATAAGTTTTGATAAATATTAAATAATCTATTTTCTATCGTTTTATAATAGTATTTAATTTTTAACTTTTGTTAAATTTGTAAAGAATTTTTTGCTAAGAATTTTTTATTTGCTAAGAGGTATTATTTTTTATTTATTAATATATATATTTTTTTGTTAATTCACCTCCTCAAGGCCGACAAGGCCACTACAGACGAGGAGGCTACTTATTTGTGGTTATATAACCCTCTCTCAACTCTATAACTCTGAAACACGAACCTTGACGAACAAGGCCGCTGCGTGGAGAAACGAGTTGAGCGCGGTACTACCAGGGACGTGGTGGGGATTGAACTCGGAACCTCTCGCTTATAATGCGACCGCTCTACTACTACACCACTACCGCTACAATTATATTAAAGGTAATTTGTGTTTTGGAATATCAACCAATGTAAATTTGGAAATTATTTATATTTTTATAGCTTTGAAAAAATTAGTAGGGAATTAAAAAGGACTTGTAGCAACGAGGAGTCTTAAGTTCTTCCCAAACTCCTCATTGTTAAAAATGTGTTATATTTTTACTTCATATTTAATAAAGAAATTGAATTTAGTTTTTGTTGAGTAATGGAGAAAGAGTTTTTGTTGTTTTTAGACTATTTAGTTCATGCTTTCTATAGTTTTTATTTGGTTTGCTTTACTTTGAATTATAATTTATACATTGTTGTAAATGTTTTAGTGTATATTATTAATTAAAATTTTAATATTGTAAAGTTGAGCGTTTTGTAACAACTTTTTTTTTTAAATAGTTGCCCAGCAGTAATTTGTTAGTTGGTAAGATCGAATCAATAAGTTTTATAGATTACTATTTTGTTTAATAATTTTTGTGCTTCATTAACCCACTTGCAAGGGTGGACCCTTAACAGATGATCCGAATCCGCCCCTGCCCACTAGAATAACTTATCTGAATTGCCTAACTATTAGTAGCAAGATACAATATAATTACAGATAGATATAATATAAATTAAGATGCCATTTTTTCAATTTATGTTTAATAACTGTATTTGTCATTTCCTCCTCCTATACAGATTTAGTAGGTTAACAAAAAATTTTTTTTTGTTTGTTATTGATTTGAAAAAATAAGTTAAAAGACCTAATAGACTAGGTAAACTGTTGTTCTTTAGAGTTGCACTTACTACGCCCAATCACACACACCCTGATTTCATTTATCAGGTGATTTCATTTATCTGAAGAATGCAATATCTAAATGTTAAGTTGGACGCATTTTTTATAATTTCAACATATTTTTTGGTAAAGCAATTATTTTTTTATCGCAAACCGTTCTGTTTTGCACAGCTTTTACAAAGTAAATTGTATTAGAAAAAATTAGTACTTATTCGTCGAGGTATAATTATATAATAAAATAGAGTTATAATGAAGTCAAAATATATTCAGAGAGGTGTACCACCCAAAGTGTTTGTTTTTGCTCCAGATTTCTACCCCTCGTGTGTGCAACTTCTGCAATGATTTATTGTTCAGAAGCCCTTAATCATATTAAAAACTAAAAAAGTCTTGCACACACGAGAGGTGAGAGTGGATATTTCAATTTTGCTATGTGGTTTTTTTGGTTTTTTAAATATTTTTAACATCGAATTAAGTAAAAAGTGATGAGTCATAAAATGTCACTTTACAACGGAAGCAATATAAAATTGGTGCAGTTGCAACTTTTTTGAAAAGTAAGATTTCAAGCCTAGTTTTACGAATCGAGTGCTCATTTTATGAAGGATTATTTAAAATTTAAACTTTTTCCTAGATACTTAATAATATTATTATTTGAATACCTTGTACAACTTATTTTCGACATTTTTTTGACTTGTCTCTCTTTTCCTATTGCACACAGAGTTGATTATTGCTAACTACTTGTGACTCAAATGACTGAATTGCTAACTAATTGTGACTCAAAAGACTAAATTGCTAACTACTTGTGACTCAAATGACTGACTTGCTAACTACTTGTGATTCAAAAGACTGAATTGCTAACTACTTGTGACTCAAATGACAGAATTGGCTTAAAAAGTTAATGAGATACTCCATTTCTGTTTTAAATGTGCATATTAAGAGATTTCCATTTTTGCCTTGAGAAACACAAAGCTTGCAAACGCCCAAGAGCAAAAATTTTTTGCTTCATTGCAATATTTGGAATCAATAAACCTTGTGATATAAAAGCAATTTTTTCTTTGAGAGTTTTTCAGATTTATAAAAATGTTCTTAAACAGCTTACTTGAAGTCCAAACTGCTAGTAAAAAATAATCAATTTTGCAAACGTTCAATAGTTTAACCAACTTTTTAAACTTGATTTAATAAGTATTCCATCCCTTTTAGGAATTTTACTAAAAAAACAAGTTTTTAGTTTGAATTTTTCTAACTTTCAATTTCTTTTACTCATTGCATCCTGCATTATAGAAAGCAAACGCTTTGTATTTTTAATAGATTTATCTTCATCAACGTTTGAATGTTCATCAATTGACTCAAATAAGGAAACTAAATTAATTTTAGGCTTCTTTTTCAGTAACGTTTTTAATTTTTTTAACTCATAAACTTCATCTCTCAAAGTTTCAATTTGTGTCAATATTTAATTTTCTGGTGTAGCACTATTTGTAAAAAAGAATGTTAGTTATCCAGGAAGATTCGGAAGCATCTCCAAGTATTTTAAAGTATGCTAAATAATAAATTACATTAGCAATATGTGCGCGGCAGCCTACAGTTGTAATATCTTTCTTAGAAGTAAAGTACTTTCTTTCGATTCCAGTTTCATCATTTGTATTAGGTAAATATTCCATATACATTTTATACTTTGTAGAACTTTGAAACAACGCGTTGTTTCAAAGCTAAGTTAATGTTAATCTTACGTTGATTTTTGGTTTGTTTTCAACGTTGATCTAACGTTAACCATAACTTTCAACGATATAACGTTAACCATAACTTTCACAATTTTTTAACGATGAAACGTTAAAAAATCGTTGAAAGTTATGGTTGAAAAATGGTAGATTTTTGGTTAAAACGGAAACGCAAATCAACGTTGAAAATAAACTTTAGATCAACGTTAAAAGCAAACCAAAAATCAACGTTAGATTAACGTTGGTTTAGCGTTGACTCAACCAACTTATATACGAGTTTATAAACCTTAATAAATACAGTATTTCTCACCGTGACTCTCTTAATTTAAAATTCATAGAAGTAAAGGCAAATATGCAAAGGTGATATATAACTGGAGATATGCCGATTGAGAGTAAAGCTAGTGACAAAACAACTTTAGTAAGCTTTTGTAACTTGTTTTTGAATTTCTTGATTTAGTTTTTTTTAAAGATAAAAACCAATATGACTAAAATCGATAATTTTTACACAAAACTTTATATCTTTTATTTTAAAAAACTCAAAATCTCATGAATACAATTTTATAAACAATTTAAATGTTAAATGGGTTAGCAATGAATACTATAAATCTAATAAATTTATTAAAGATAAAGTCAAAGAAAATTTCAGCATTAGTATATGTAAAATGGGGGTTTGGCCTCACCTTGAGTTGCACGTGTGTGCAAGCTAAACAGTGACTACTATTTACATGTTTTTTACTTTAGGTTGCAGGCGTGCACAAATCAAAAAGTGACTACTAGCGATCCTTGGCGCTCAATGTATTAGCCGCGCGAGCGCTTTTTTTATTATCCTAAAATATTTTTATGACCGTTTTATCAATCGCCCATTCCATAGAAATATTTTAGAGTTTTGTTTGGCTTTGAATTTACTTACAATGGACAAGAAATTATCATCAGTGTACAACAGCTTCAACGGGTACTGGCGTGGAGTTTCTGCTCGCAGCAGCCGCAAAAATTTCTGAAAAGGCCTCTGGAGAATGTTTAAGGAAGCAGACAGTGTGGCAAATTTATTTAGCAGCTCCAAGCCACATACCAAGACACACTATAAATGAAAGCAGCCCTGGTGCGGTTCATCAGGCAGACTTAATTTATTTACCATAGAAGAAAGTTGGCCGACGAACATACAAAAACGCTTTAACAGTTGTCGACGTAGCAATTTGCTTTTTTTTTTTTAATTTCTTTATTAAGTGCCCCAAGAAGTCCTGACAGTCCTGTCACAGAGCACCGCGGAAGTGCATTTATCCAGGAAACACGCCTCCTTCCTTACCATGACGCAAAATATGTCTGAATCTCGTTTCGAACCTGGATCTCCTGCTTATAAAGCAAGCGCTCTAACCACTGCGTCACGGCCGCTATAAGGAAGCTGAGCTCCTTCGAAACAAGACAGCAGCTGAAGTTGCTGATGCCTTAACTCGCATATACAATCGTGGTCCACTAACTTAGTCTCAATTACTTCAGGTAGATCTAGGCTGTGAATTTATGGGAGCAACAACTCAATTTCTCACCAAGCATAATGTTCAGGTGCAACAAGGCGCAACCACAAATCGTCGTGAGCAAGAAATTGTTGAGCGTTTTAATCGTACTTTAGCAGAAAGGCTATTCGGTGCACAGAATGCTCAAGAAATGCTTATGACAACACATGGTTCTTCTGAGAGATCAGCCGA